TAAGCAGTATTGTACGCGCGTTGATGCTGAAATGCACCAGTCTTCTAGCACGCGTGCGATCTGAGTCTGGAGGTGGCGGCCCGCTATAGGTTAGAGCGCCCAAGATGGCCCCAGATGACTCCAGAAGGGCCTTTTCAGAGGCCAAGAAGGCATCCAGGATCGTTCAAGATACCCCCAAATGCTTGAAGATCGCCTCCAACATTCCTCCAAGAAACCCCAATACCGCTCCAAGGCGGCACCAAGTGGCCACGGAACCCCCCAACGATGCTCTAGGAGGCTTACAATATTTCAAGCACTTTGTGTTGTACAGCTTGTGTTGCCTTCTTGCTTATTCGCTTTCAGTGGGATCTTGAGGCCTCAAGATGGCCACACTATAGCCAAAAAAACCCGAGAGGGCCCCAGGAGGGCCCCGGGATGGCCCCAATAGCGTTCAAAACCGCCGCTAGAGCGCTCGACGTGGGCCCCAAGACGCACATTTTCGGGCGCCAATGGGGGGGGGGGGGGGCGAAATGTAGGCCCCCATTTTGTATTGGCCGATTGCGTTCAAGATGATTGCCCGCATGGCTTTCAAGGATACCCCAATTAGGCCCCAAGAGAGCCCCAAGAGAGCCCCAAGACGGCCAAGAAGGCCTCCGCAATGGCCCCAAGAGGGCCCCACGGATGCCCCAAGAAGCTTCCAAGACGCTTTCACCGCGAAATATGAGCAACGGTCTTGGTCTTGGTCTTGGTCCAATGGCTGGCTTTTGTCATCGTCGTCGCCGTCGTCGTCGCCGTCGTAGCCATCGTCGTCGTTGTCGTCGTCGTCGTCGTCGTCGTAGTCGTCGTCGTCGTCGTCTTCGTCGTCGTCGTCGGCAAAAAGGCCCGGGGCCGCTGCAAACCAAGCCCCAGGGCCGCTGCAAACCATGGTCCGGGGAAACCCAGGGGCCGTTGCAAACCGCTCAAGCCCCCAGGCTGCTGCAAACCATGGCCCCGGCAAGCCCCAGGGCCGTTGTACACTATGGCCTTTGTTGGCAAGCCCCGAGGCCGCTGCAAGTGGACCTGGCAAGCCCCGAAACACCTGCCAAACGCGGCCTTGGGAAGCCCCACCCTGGAATATGCGTGTATTCTCTTGCACAGCTGTGCTCTAGAGCTCGGACATCCTTATTCTCTTGCACAGCTGTGCTCTAGAGCTCGGACCTCTTTATTTTCTTGGTTCGTTCGTGGTTCGTCGTCCCTGGACCCCCCCCTCTCCCGAGCCTCCCAGGCCCCCCTGGGCCGCCGAAGCCTTTATTTTCGTGGTTCGTTCGTGGTTCGTCGTCCCTGGACCCCCCCCCCTCCCCCGAGCCTCCCAGGATCCCCCTGCCCCGAGCCTCCCCCCGAGCCTCCCAGGGCAGCCCCCCTGGGCCGCCGAAGCCTGTATTTTCGTTGTTCGTTCGTGGTTCGTCGTCCCTGGACCCCCCCCTCGCCCGAGCCTCCCAGGATCCCCCTGCCCCGAGCCTCCCTCCGAGCCTCCCAGGGCAGCCCTCCTGGGCCGCCGAAGCCTTTATTTTCGTGGTTCGTTCGTGGTTCGTCGTCCCTGGACCCCCCTTCCCCCGAGCCTCATAGGATCCCCCTGTCCCGAGCCTCCCCCCGAGCCTCCCAGGGCAGCCCCCCCGAGCCTCCCAGGGCAGCCCCCCTGGGCCGCTGAGCCTCCCCCCGAGCCTCCCAGGGCAGCTCCCCCGAGCCTCCCAGGGCCTCCCAGGGCAGCCCCCCTGGGCCGCCGAAGCCTTTTATTTTCGTGGTGCCCCCCTGGGCCGCCGAAGCATTTATTTTCGTGGTTCGTTCGTGGTTCGTCGTCCCTGGACCCCCCCCCTCCCCCGAGCCTCCCAGGATCCCCCTGCCCCGAGCCTCCCCCCGAGCCTCCCAGGGCAGCCCCCCTGGGCCGCCGAAGCCTTTATTCTCTTGCACAGCTGTGCTCTAGAGCTCGGACATCTTTATTGTCGTCGTGGTTCGTTCGTCCCCCTGGGCCCCTCCCCTTGAGACCCAGCTCCTCTGGGCCCCCCCCCGTGGGAGCCTTTGGGAGCCCCTCCGTCCAGGCTTCCTAGGGCAGCCCCCCTGGGCCACGGAACCGTTTATTCTCTTGCAAAGCTGAGTTCTAGAGCTCGAACACCTTTATTTTCGTCGTTGTGGTTCGTCCACCTGGGCCCCCTCTGGCTCCCCTGGGCCGCGGCCCCCCCTCCCCCGAGCCTCCCGGGACTGCTCCCCCCCCTGCGGCGGCGCCGCGGCGGCGACCGCGGGCGGCGAGCCGCGCGGCGGGGCGCCGCCGACGACTGTCGTCGTCGTCGTCTTCGTCGTTGTTGTCCTCGTCGTCGTCGTCCTCCTCCTCCTCCACTTTCTTTCTGGCTCCTCGTAAACTCCTCCTGAAAGACGAAAGCGGGGGCCTCCTGTCCTTCGCAGCTCCTTTGTGCAAGAGCCAGGGCACGCGTGCCACTTGTTTTCGTCGTGGTTCGTGGCTCGTGGTGGTTCGTCCCCCTCGGCCCTTCCCCTGAGCCTGAGCCCCAGCTCCCCTGGGCCACCCACCCTTCGGAGGCTTGCTCCGTCAAGGCTTCCCAGGACAGCCCCCCTGGGCCGCGGACATCCTTATTCTCGTCGTGGTTCGTGGTTCGTCGTGGTTCGTCCCCCTCGGCCCCTCCCCTGAGCCTGAGCCCCAGCTCCCCTGGGCCACCCCCCCTTGGGAACCCCCCTCCGTCCAGGCTTCCCAGGACAGCCCCCCTGGGCCGCGGAACCCTTTACTTTCGTCGTGGTTCTTGGCTCGTGGTGGTTCGTCCCCCTCGGCCCTTCCCCTGAGCCTGAGCCCCAGCTCCCCTGGGCCACCCACCCTTCGGGGGCTTGCTCCGTCCAGGCTTCCCAGTCCTTCGCAGCTCCTTTGTGCAAGAGCCAGGGCACGCGTGCCACCTGTGATTTTAGTCGCGAATCGCCGGGGCGTTGCTCTCGTCTTAGCGCAGTGCACAAGTGTTGTTTAAGGTCCTAGCCAGGAATCGCCGCGAGTGGTTCTCGTTCGGGCGTGGCTTGCGAGTGGCTAAACATGTCTAAACATGCTACCGTGTCTAAAAAGTGTTCCGTGCCTAATCATGGCTATTTGTGGCTAAAGCCGATGTCACGCCGTGGCTAGTTCGTGGCTGAACGTGGTTAGATGCCAGCCAAGTTGAAGGACGACTTAGACAAAGAAACCGCCAAACATCGCTGCCCGCACGATCCAGGAGGTTGAGTCACAAGGCAACACAATGCATTTGCATCGCGCCAGGAGGCAGAAAAAGGAGGGGGGAGGTGAGGGAGCAAGAAAAGGAAGAGGATGGAGGAGGAAGAAGGAAACGACTACGACGACGAATCATAACAATAAAACGGATCTCAATAATAAGAAAACGGGTGGGAGGAAGAAGGATAAGAAGACGAATGCGACGACGACGACGAGTCAAAGAGAACAACGTCTTCCGCACGCCGACAGGGTCGGCGGATTCGGTATGGCATTTCTTTGCAAAGCATGTGTTCAAAGTACTTGTTAACCAGCGTGTGGACCACCAAAACGATGCATTGTTTTCACATATTCTGAGGTGCAAACTAGGCAGTGTAAATTATGTGGTGACATTTATGCCATGTCAGCTATGTGGTGTGCTCCATCGATGTGGAAAGCAGGCGGTGCGAGCTGTGCCGTGCAAGCGGTGTCGTGTGCAGGTTGTGCGGTGCGAGCGGGAGGCGTAAGCTGTGGGGCGCCAGCTGTGTGAGGCCGTGCAGGTTGTGCAAGCTGGGCGGTGCACGCCGTGCCGTGCGAGCAGCGCGGTGCAGGCTGCCAGGTGCCCAGTACCAAGAACAGGCGGCCAGGCCGGCGAGATCGGCGGCGAGGCCGGGCGAGCACAGTGGTCAGGGGCATCCGGGGAGGAGGAGGAGGAGGAGGAGGAGGGGGAGGAGGAGGAGGAGGAGGAGGAGGAGGGGGGAGGAGAGGAGGAGGAGGAGGAGGAGGATGGGGAGGAGGAGGAGGAGGAGGAGGAGGAGGAGGAGGGGGAGGAGGGGGAGGAGGAGGAGGAGGTGGAGGCCCTGTCGCGCCAGCTCCGCGCCCGGGGCGCCCGCGAGGCGCCCGCGAGGCGGCCACGAGGCGGGGGCCTCTCGGCGCGGCCTCGGCGAACCCGCCCCGGCGCACGGGCGCGCCCGCGAGGCGCCCACGAGGCGCCCACGGGGCGGCCACGAGGCGCCCACGGGACGCCCACGAGGCGCCCACGAGGCGCCCGCGAGGCGGCCACGGGGCCGCCCACGAGGACGCCCACGAGGCGCCCACGAGGGACGCCCACGAGGCGCCCACGAGGACGCCCACGAGGCGCCCACGAGGGGCGCCCACGACGCGCCCACGAGGCGCCCACGAGGCGCCCACGAGGCGGCCACGGGGCGGCAGCGTGGCGAAACCTCGCGGCGCCCATCCGCTCTGCTGAGGCAGAGTGGGAGGCAGACCTCCTCGAGCAATGAAGAAATCATGACGGGAGGTTTTTCGCCATTTTCGGCCTCGGGGGGCCCTCACCGGGCCTCGGGAGCGTCAAAAAACGACTCGGGAGGACAAACCGGTCCTGGGGAGGGGGTCGAGAACTCTGGGGTCGACGTAATGAAAAATTCATTACGTCGGGGGTCTGGGGAGGCAGAGCCCCAGAAAGGGCGAGCACGGCCGGGGAATCGTCCACGAGGGCTGATGAGGGAGGGGGCTCGGAACGGGAGGGTTTATTGCAGCATGCTTAGGCTTTCATTCTGGTCCTCCTCCTCCTCCTTGTCCTCCTCCTTGTCCTCCTCCTTGTCCTCCTCCTCCTCCTCCTCCTCCCTCCCTCCCTCCCCCCTTCCTCACCCCTCTCCTCCTCCTTCCTCCTTCCTCCTTCCTCCTCCTCCTCCTCCGCCTCCTCCTCCTCCTTCTGTTCCTCCTCCTCCTCCTCCTACTCCTCCTCCTCCTCCCTCTCCCTCTCCCTCTCGTCCTCCGCCTGCTCCGCCCCCTCCCCCGCCTCCTTGAGGTGGTAGACGCGTTCACCGAGGTCGTCAAGCCGCAGGTGCAGCTGGTGGACAAGCCGGTGCCAAGGCGGAGCCGTCCCTTTTCGATTGAACCACCCGATGTTGGCAGCACGCGGGCGATGAGACATAGGATAAGAATCTGACAGGTCAACAGCAAATGGCTGTCAGGTTTCTTACACCAGGACGTTCTTGATATGTGCATATGCGTGTCGTAAATCTTCGGAGGTCAGCGCGGGGTTCTTGCACCAGGACTGCACCCTCCTACGACCCCGGCGCGCTTTACGCGCCAGGGGGGTCGAGCCAGGAGGAGGAGGGCTGTGTCGGCAGGGCGGGCTGGGCGTTTCGCTTAAGATATCTTCACCCCTTATGGTCCTGTGGTTTGAAATGCCCAGCACCTACACGGATGGAGGGCAAATGGTGAACATGATGTTTCTCGTTGTGGCGCCGCGTGTGCATAAGTTCTTAAAGTTGCAACAGTTACTCGGATGGGGCACAGGTCGTTTTCCAAACATGTCTCACGTCGTAGCCCCGCGCACACTCGGCCTAAAGTATTTCAACATCTGCACCGGTGGAGGGTTGCCATGTACTTGTCAAACCTGAACTCTTGCTCGACACATCCTCTGGCATCACCATGCGCAACACATGCAAGCATGGAGCATGGAGGGCGCTATGTGCTTGTCAAGTTGTTGAAGCTACACATGTTTTGGTTGCTTGCTTTGCGTTTGTATGTCTGTGTGCTCGTGCATGCTTGGTGCTCGTCCCTGCACGTCCGCTCGCCTCGCGTGGCCACCCATCTGCAGCGCCATCTGGACCTCACGACAGCTTGTGCCCCGTGCTGTCGCTTGCTACGGTGACGTCGCCTGGCCGGCGGAGGAAGAGGGTGCGTGTGTGCTTCTCCCAGCCCTGGCCACGGCCCCAGGGTGTGGTCGCTGATGTTCAGTCTGGCCTGTCCCTCTATACAGGGGGAATGTTCAAAAAGAGTATTCTTGGGCATCCTCTGCATATGTTTCGGGTATGTTTTACTTTTCGTCCAAAATCCCCCTGTAGGGGGACAGGCCCGACCTAACGCTGATGCCGTCCCGCTCCCGCTGCCGGGGGTCCATTCGGCCTCGGCCGGCCCCACCGGCGCGCTCCTCCCGGAAGCCCCTCCGCGGCGAGTGTCCTCTCCTCCAGGGCGCCCTCGAGGGCGCGAAGCTCTTCGCGCTTCGCGCTTCGGCTCCGATTCCTCCTCGCCCTCCACTTCTCCCCTGGGAGGCGGCGCGAGGGCGCGCAGTTCTCCGCGCGTCGCGCTCCGCGCTTCGGCTCCGATTCCTCCTCGCCCTCCACTCCTCCCCTGGGAGGCGGCGCGAGGGCGCGAAGTTCTTCGCACTTCTCGCGCTCCGCGCAGGGCGCAGCGCGCAGCTGGGAGCCCTTGGCTTAGATCCAGCCCTGGCCCATGCAGCCTCAAAGAAGGGCCCAAGATGCCCCCGACACGGCCCAAGAGACGCCCAACGTGTCCCAGGAGTGGCCCCCGAGGCCCCAGAGAGGGGCGTCCGCCCCAATCAGAGGGAGGAGGAGGAGGAGGAGGAGGAGGAGGAGGAGGAGGAGGAGGAGGACGAGGAGGAGGATGAGGAGGAGGAGGAGAGGAGTGGAGGAGGGAGGAGGAGGGAGGAGGGAGGAGGGAGGAGGGAGGAGGGAGGAGGGAGGGAGAGGAGGGAGGAGGGAGGAGGAGGAGGCGGAGGAGGAGGGGAAGCGGCCCTCTGCGGCGCGCCGCCCTGCCCGGTGCTTCTCCTGCAGCCCGGCCGGTCGGCCCGCCGAGCGCCCGCGCAGCTCGAGCGGCTCCTCCTCCTCCTCCTCCTCCTCCTCCTCCTCCTCCTCCTCCTCCTCACTCGTCCTCCTCCACCCCTTCTCTCCTCCCCCCCTCCCTTCCCCCTCCATCCACCTCCCCTCCTCCTCCTCCTCCTCCCTCCTCCTCCTCCTCCTCCTCCTCCTCCTCCTCCTCCCTCCTCCTCTCCTCCTCCTCCTCCTCCTCCTCCTCTCTCCTCCTCCTCCTCCTCCTCTCCTCCTCCTCCTCCTCCTCCTCCTCCTCCTCCTCCTCCTCCTCCTCCTCCTCCTCCTCCTCCTCCTCCTCCTCCTCCTCCTCCTCCTCCTCCTCCTCCTCCTCCTCCTCCTCCTCCTCCTCCTCCTCCTCCTCCTCTCCTCCTCCTCCTCCTACCTCTCACTCCTCCTCTCTCCTCCTCCTCCTCCTCCTCCTCCTCCTCCTCCTCCTCCTCCTCCTCCTCCTCCTCCTCCTCCTCCTCCTCCTCCTCCTCCTCCTCCTCCTCCTCCTCCTCCTCCTCCTCCTCCTCCTCCTCCTCCTCCTCCTCCTCCTCCTCCTCCTCCTCCTCCTCCTCCTCCCCTAAGGACGGGCATGCGGCCTGCCTCCTTTCCCCCCTCCCTCTGCCACGGGGGCCGGCCCCCCCGCTGGGTCCCGGGGGCCCCCTCCATGCCCGCCGCCCGCTTCTTCGCTCGCACTTGGCATCG